ATATATTTAAATTGACTCACTCACACAAGCAATTACCTTTAGCACATATAATGTGAGTAAATATTAAACTATTTGAGTTTTAATGCTTAATAAGTGATTTGGGCGTAGTGTGAACAATTTTAACTTAAAGTGGTTATTAAAAAGTCACTTTGGTTGGGACCAAAAATAGATTTTTAAATAAAAGAATTGATATGAATGAATTCTCATCATTCACGTGTCTATTATGATTGAAGCCTAGTATGAAATTATTCATCTGCCACCAATAACAATAAGCAAATGAGAATTTCTGATTTGAAATCTATATTTTTTAACGACAGGACTAAGACTCGTATGATGTGTTTCTTATAACAATGAGAGCAATGGAATGCACTTTTTATTTTTATAAAATAAAATGATAAACTCTCTTATAACATGCATTTTATACTACATGTGTTAACTACCATTACATGAATGAAGAATGGATCCCTCCTTCTTTATTATATGAGTCATAGAGATCATATCTAAAAATTTTAAATCTTACCTTTTCATCACTTTTGATTGTATCAAAAGGTGACATATAAATTATTGCTATTTTAAGAGTATATTGATGTAACCATATTATTCGATAGTTTCACCCATATTTACCTAATGTTTTGTCCATGTTTTATATGTAAAATGCCTTGATATTCTTTGTTTTATGTTTTGAAGGCACTTTTGGATGAAAAATGCAAAAAGGAGTAAATTGGAGATAATTGACAAATTTGACATTCAGTTGATGTTTTGTGTAGAGCGTGAGTTCCAGAAATCAAAATGAAGTTATTCTAGTGGCACTAAAAAGCTAACATCCATACCTTTTTGGAAATGTAATGCAAGAAAAATAAAAAGAGGAAGATCATGGAAATCACATCCTTCAAAGTCAAATCTCGCATTCTGCCACTATTGACCTTTGTCTATTCAAAATTCAATATCTGGAGATATAGAAGTCCAATTTATACAAACTCAATTTTGTTGGATTCCTGACTCAAAGGTCTGTAAACTTTCCAAATTTCATCCAAAAAAGATGTCAGATGAGGGAGATATGATTTTTCAAAGATGACAATTGAATTTTGTCAGCAATCAAGTTTCGTGAAGAAATGAGTCCAAATTACATTTCAAAGCTTCTAAACCGTCATCCAAGTTTTTATATCAGCAATTTAGCTCCTCTAAGTCAGAGTTTGAAGATTTCATGCAAGGCTATTTCTCTTTTTTAGGGAAAATAGTTATAGAAGTACTTAAATGTCAATTGTCAACTTAAAGGAGGACTACTTTGTAAATTAGGAACTAGGGTTTCTTAGCATATAAAAAGAAAGAGAGAGAGGAGAGAAGGGGGGCAGCAGCCAGAAGTTAAGAAACACAAATTGTCTTCTCTACAAACCCAAAAAATCATGCTCTCTTCATTCTTTAAGAGTAGTTGTTCAATGGTTATGCAAAGCTAAGCTCTTTTCTTGGTTGCAAGGACACAACAAACCTTCGGATTTCAAGAACCATGAGATTTATTCTTCCTTTTATTTTCAGTTTATATTATGAATAAGTATGGTTGTTTTCCTATACATATTTTCTATGATTGTTGTTGATAATTGCTAGAGCGGAACTCTAAGTTATTATTGTGAACAATTTATTGCTAAGTTTGATATCAAAACCGGAGTTGTGATGTATGAACTTGTGAAGCAACTAAGCTTGATAATTGTGGCGGAACTACATTATTAAACTTTGAGAGAACACTCAAATATCTAGTTCTTAGGGCTGCCATTGAACTAAATCATTAATGCGGACATTGTGATTATTTGTTGGTTAGGGTTAATTATACGGCGGATCCGTTAATTAACCAACATTAAGAAAAGATAAAAATTCAGAATATAAATTGTAGTTTTGTTTCAAGGATCGGTTCTAATTTCCATTGGTGGATGTGTGCTTGCAACCAAGGTTTGTTTTCTTGATAAATTTCGATTTCAATTGATTTTGTTTGCTAGTTTAATTTCTTCCATAGTTTAGATCATCACAAATCAAAACCCCCCAATTGCATAACGTATAACATAAAAATCTGAACTAAATCTTCCTTGTGGGATCGACCCCTTACTTGCTCTATACTATCTTGTGTGTTGTGTTTTAAACTAGGGTAATTAATTTGTACGACCACGACATCGCAACATATATCCTATGATCATAGAATGATTTAATTTAAAAAATACTATTAGGAGAACAAGTTAATTCATACCTAATTGATGTAAGTGCACAAAAAAAAAAATAGTTCTACACCTAGTACTTGTATTCACTGGACAAGATCATATCACTTGAATAAATTTGCTATGATTTAGAATACTTGTAATTATAGTGATAAATTGAATATGAAATTCTAGAGTGATTGATTTATATTAAGCCATGTGTAACTAAAATTGTTTGGGATATATTAATACAGTTTAATAAATAATTATGAGGTTAATGTCTTCTATATAACCCGTATTAGATTTATATATTGGAGCTCCTTTCATTGTGTGCTTCAGGTTATACAGTTTGTTCGTCGGGTATGAAATTCTTGTGTATGTGAAATATAATGTGTTAGATAGATTCGGTCTTTTATGGACGAATGTGAGATGTTGTTATTGAGTTAGACTTGGTCCATCCATGCAGGATGAGCCTAGTCTGAGTATTTAAAGGAGTTACTAAAAGAAGTAACCACTTTCTTTGCTTGTATATATACGGACATAAGCCATATGAAAAGTAGTTTTATTCGTTATCAAAAGGATATAGTTCTCCTTTTATCTTCTCCCATATTTGACTCTCAGTATTAATTTATTAAGATTTATAAAGATGTTTGTACTATGAAATATCTATCTAGTTATAGTAATCAAAGTAGCAATGAAGCAATCCAGAGACAGAAAAGCGAATTCTCACATCACGAGTAAGTTTTCTTTTAAATCTACATTAATGATAATACCTCATTTTCTTCCTCATCCATTAGGCTATACTCTCTCATTTCTTCTTCATCTAGATTCTCCTCTATTTTTTTTACTGGTCTTCAATTTATGAAATGAGTCTTTCAGTTTTTCATGAAATGGGTTTTTTAATTCTAAACAATATTTTCATACGTTTGAGGAAAATCTTACAAGCCACTAGGCATGCCCTTTATTTTTTCTCCACTTGTATATGCAAAATAAATTTTAATTCTCAGCGGTATATTTAATAGTTATAGATAAAGAAAATCAAATTGATCGAGGGAAAATGAGATCGTGGATTTGAGAGAGGAATATAACATATGAGGTTAGATGAATTGCGATGTCACATTAAATACTAAGTGGCATTACATGCTTAGGTAGATTCATTTTTTTTGTTTAAATTTAAGAATTTTTTGTTTAAATTTAAGAATTGTGTTGATGCATGATGAAAACTATAATTTATAAAGAAACAAGGGTAAAGTGAAAAAACAATTCCTCAAATTAATTAAAAAAATTAAAAGAGGTGATGCTTTTAACATGTAATATCATTATAATGGTGTCTTTTATTTTTTGCCTTTCCCTTTTAGTTTTTTTAATTACTATTTTATTATTTAAATTTCAATTTATTAGATAATGATTTTTATGAGTTGTTGAAATTTATTTTATATGTGGTTATCATAATCTCATGATCTATTTTGTAGGTTTAGTACTTTAACCCGGTTGACTCGTTTTTTTCCTATTTTTTTAATTTTATATTTAAACATTAGGTTGATTAAAAATTAAATTTTATGATTTTTTTTGTTTGCTTTGTATTAGGTCATCTTTGTTTTGTGACTTGGATTGCATTGCGAGTTAACATGGGTTGAATTTGATTATTTGATTATGTATTTTTTTAGTTTTATTTTTTTTTTAATTTTATTTATTAATAATTGGTTGGTTGAGAATTGTGTTTTATAATTTGTTTCAACCTGCTTTATAAGATTATCATAGTCTCATGATTCAAGTTGCGAATTTGATAAGGTAACCTGAGTTGTTTCCAGTTGTTTTTTTTATTTGCTTTTTATAATGTTATCACAATCTCATGGATCATGAACTTAACAAGTTAATCCGGGTTGTTTTTGTGTCATTTTCTTTATTTTTTTTAATTTTATCTCTCAACATTATGTTAATTAAGAATTAAATATTATAATCTATTTCAATTTATTTTTTACGATGTTATTATAGTTTTATGACTTAAGTTATGGACTTGACAAATTGATTCAAGTTATTTCTTGTTATTTTTTATTTTTTTTTCAATTTTATTTATGGTTATTTTTTATTTTTTTTTTCAATTTTATTTATAGATACTAAGTTGAATATGAATTGAATTTTATAATTTGTTTTGTATATACTCTATAAGAGGTTATCATTATTTCATGTTTTGGATCGTGAGTTTAACAAGTTAATCAAGTTGATTAAATATATTATTATATTAATATTAAAAAAAAGATAACATATTAGTTTTTTTATCCAATTATATTTTTATTGATTGTTTAATTTATATTTAAATTATAAAATTAATTAAATCACATTAAATTAATTATTATATATTTTTATTTTTATTTTTATTTAAAATATATTAAAAATGTTTGAATATTTTTTTACACATAATTTTTTTTTCTCTTGATCCACCGTGTAATACGGGTGAATCTATGAAAAAATCTGAATTTTAGTCAAAGCCCGTCTGGTCCGTGCAGATGAGCGAAAAATGGTCGTTCACGGGCTCACGAACTAATTTATGGCCCAAAATATCATCTAGACCCGAATAAAAACGAAGGCGGGTCATCCAGGCCCAAACCACCACTAACGCAAGCGAGTCGATAAAATAAACCACGAACATCGTGTTTGATCGAAGCCAACCATCGCTCCAAAAATGGCGACGGACGTAGAATCACCATCACCGCAGGAGAAGCCTAGCACGAAGCGGCCACCACCACCACCAGCAGAAACTTATTTGACTTCGATAATAAAATCGAAGCCAGTAGAAGAAACCGCGCCATGGATCGATAACGCAATGCAACAAGCTCTTATTTACCAAAAAACATCCAAGACTCCCTTGACACTGCCATCGAAGCTTCAAAATCTCGCTTTTCTGAAATCACCTCGACTTCTCAAGCTCATTTCAGCCAAACGATTGTAAGGTCGTTGTTTCATTCATAAAATTTGCACTCATAAATGTACATTATATATAAAAATTTATACGCATTTTTTTACTTGATTGTGAATTAATTGTATGATTCTTTGCAACATGTTAAGTCAGAGATTGGTGTTTATGAGGGTAAATTATTTGGCAAGGTTAAAGGTCTAAAAGAATTCACCGTCCACGTTGTAATTGGAGTTCAGGATTTTTATTTATTTTTTCAGGTTTTAAAGTTTGGTGAATTTTTTTTTTTGGTAGAGGAGATTAATGTTGCAGCTTCGCATCCGTTGATTACGAGCGCTGTTGCTGTTGGATTGGGACTTGTGGCTCATAAAAGTATGATCCTCAAATTATTTGCTCAATGAGTCAGAGCTTACCTTTTTTTGTTATTTTATGAGATATCTGCCATATAATGCAATGAGTTGTTAATTTGTTGTGTAAGGAGCTGGAACAAAGCTGACTAAGATTGAATGTGAAATGTACTGAAACTTTGAAGTTAGATAATGTTTCTGATTTGTAATTCAGTGTCAAAGAATGATTAGGTTCAAGAATATATAAGAAGCAGTCTGTTTTTTCCTCTAATTGTCCCCGAAACTTGTTGGTTCTTTCGCTCTGATGGTTATTGCTACAATTCATGCCATGCAGGACCAAGACAAATTTTGTACTACAAGACCTTGCGTCTTCTTACGAGTGAAGAGGTGAGCACAAGACTCCCCGCCTTTTGTTTTCTTTTTTCTGTCCCTGTAAGTAGGCATGTAACAAAAAAGGCAACCAATGAGGCTCTAAATAGCCTTATTAACTTCCATCGTGCTCCTTCAACAACAACTTCTTTGTTTAGTAAACTGTTGTAATGGGGTTTCTCTGCACCCCTTCACTGGCAGATGGCAAACCTGCTAACTCGAGGACTTACACTCCAAAGGTTGCTAAGATGGTCATGAGTCATCTGGATCTCAGTTCCTCCATTGTGAACTTTAACTCTTGAACATGTACATGCACACTTGTATAGGATATGTGTCAGTAGGATATGTAAGGCTCCATGCAAAGGATACTAGGTTTGAGTAGACATCTCCCTGCAAATGTAACTAAAACTACCAATGTTTGCATTGTGTGAACCATTAATGCTATGCTACAAAATGGAGTTCACTGCATCTTACACAATGTTTCTCAAATTCCCTTATTGATGATGGGACATGTAGTTTGGGTGACTTTATCACTCCAGTCAATATTTCTTTACTGATTACTATTATGATATACTTTTGATTCAATAATTCAACTTGCTGTCCGTTATGTTTACAACTCTACAAGTGCAGAAGCACCATCCTAATGTGTAAGCAGTTGTGGTGAGTTCAGTAAACATGTCTGTACTGAACAGAACTTTACTTGCAACCCTATTTCTTGCTGCAGGCCTTGCTTTCCCAAGCTGATGCTAAAGTAAAGGAATTGCAACAGTCGATTAGCCTCCTGAAGGCTGAAAGTGAGAATTCGAAGGTAATCTTTCCCTCACCTCTCAATTTTTCATGATATGTTATCAATTTTGTGTTCAAAGTGCATTTTTTTTTCCTTTTAATCTTTCTGGTTCCATCGTGACTGCACTCTAAAAGCAGATAGCTGTTTCCTGTGAGATTTTTCCTTAGTTCAAAAATATCTCCCTCTCAACATTCTTTTCATTTTAATTTTTAAGAACAACCAATGGATGGTGACATTAACTATGCACTCGGACATTTATTTAGTGGCTATTCATGGAAGTGAGGGCTCCACTTATGAACTATAATTACATTTAATGTAGAAAATGGAATTTACATTCCATCGCATCATGAATTTGGGATGCATTGTATGCCTCAGTGAAAATTTGACAGGAGCCAAATATACTGATTTTTATCTGTTGCAACCTCCCAACTTCAATAAGAAAAGACAACGAAGAACACATTTTGACAGAAAAACAAACAGCTGAAGAAGTTTTATATACGAACAGAGCTCTGTCATTAATCTGTATGGAAGATGTCATTATACCAATACATTTGCATACATTAAGATAATGCATTAGTATTTGGAATCATGTCAAAATATCAGCAGGAATGGAGAGATGCTCCATCTCAACAGCGTTCCTGCAATATAAACAGATTTGAGGGAAATTCTTTGCCCTACGAGGTGGGATGGAGGACAAGATTGCTCCTGATAGGGCTTGGTGTTGGTAATGGGCTCTGACGGGATACAGTACATAGGGGAAAATTAATGTGGTCTCTCTTTGGGGGTGCTAGTTGACAATTGAACTTTTAAGAATTAATTAGTTATTAGATTTATGTTGGTGAGGAATTCCAGTCTTTGCCCTGTACCTGCTGGGGACATTGTACAGGATGAGGATGGAAAAAGAGTTGAGAATAGGGGTGGGGACAGATAATGCATTGCTCATCTCAATCTGTCTGCTGCTATTCTTAGTTATCCTCTTCAACTAGTATCCTGTGACATACAGTTACTGATTTTCAGAGGAGGGCATCGTTAGCTGAAGAAGAATTGATTAGGGGAAGGACGAAGCTCAGGTTTGTGATTTCAGAGAAAGGGTTTCTGATGTTCACTTTTGAAAAGCATGGAAGGGAAATTTTCCATCTGGCTGATCTATCCTGTGGAAACTTTGTTCTTTACAGGCAAGCAGGGAAGCAGATCCAAGGTGTAATTTGCTCAGCCTACAAGATTGAAAGACAAGCTATGGGTATGTAAATGCCACAGCCCCCTTAGTGTTGTCATTAAGCAAACATGTTGGATGGATAAAACATTTTTTAATTCAAATATGCTTTGTTGCATCAGGTTTGAGGGACATTCTTGGGGAGTTGCCTAGAGCAGATGCATCTAGATTTCAGTCACAAGTAAGTATTTCAGATAATAACCATAGACATGCTTTCCACATGTATATATATATTCTATCAAGATTTGAAAAGGGTATACAAAACTCATGCTTGGTGTTCTGTTGTCGCTGCTATGGGAAAAGGAGCCTTTCATATAGGTCCTACCTCCAGAAACGGTCTCCCTCTTGTTGCTGTTGGCTCGCATGCATAATAGGGGACGGGGTTGTGTGTTTGTAATTTATCATGGTTTGTATCTTAATTTGATTGAAAAAGTAAACAATCTTGCTGAACTCATATTCTTATACTCTGCAGTGAAGTTAAAATGCAAGAAAAATCTGTTAGGTATGCATTTGCACATAAATATGTTATAACATCATGGGATAAGTGACGATGCGTTTATGTGCAAATGCATTACCCTAACTTTCCCGTCTACACAGATTTTTCTGACATATTACTCCATTGCAGTACCGCTAAAAGGCAAGATTTTAGAATTCCAGGTAAAACCTATTTGGGCCTTAAGGATAGATCTAATTTAAATAATACCCTGATAGAATAAATGCCATCCTGAAAACAAACTACTAAATGTAAACGTTGGTTTTGGTTTTGACTCCAGCAGTTGTTAAATCATACCCTATACATTTATGGAATGACTAATTAGTAATTATCCTTCATTTTAACTAACTTTTTTTTTTTTTTAAATACGAACTTGCAATCTTTAACTACAGTTAAGATTTTATTCATATCAATTCTAAATGTATAGGCCCAACATAAATTTAGTAATATGCGTAGTTTAGTAAATGATATTTAATGTCATGTTTTATTTAGTAAGGTTACTTGTGAAATTATTATACTAGATTTTAAATTTTTTGTAATTTACAAGTACATAAATAGTTTAAAGCTCATAAAAAATATATAATTTTGTATTATGATGGTATTTTTTTTATTAGTTCAACAACACTTTAGCTTCTCAAGCTGGTATAAATAAAACTGCAAGTTGATTTGGCTTACACTTTTCTTTTCTTTTCTTTTCTTTTCCTTTTTATTTATTTATTTTTAAACCTAAGCCATTAAATTTGTTTTTAATGGATGATCTGGCTTGCAGGTTTCCAGCTTAGCTTCTGAGGCAAAGCAAGAAAGGAATGCTTTGTCCAAGATGATCACAAAAATCAGTAACTATAGAATCTCAGTTTGAGAATGCTATATAACTATTTGCTTGCTGTCTATGTTTGCAATGTATTGGAGTTTTAACATCACAATTCACAATCACGTATCTTCCATGCAAGATATGGCATCACTTCTTGAGATTTTTGAGTTTTGATTCTGCTTTTTGTTAGAAGCGAAAGCACTGTCGATGGCACATCTTTCATCGGCCGGGAATTATTTCAGTATATACATTGAATGAATACAGACGTGCAATAATTCCATTGCGAATGGATATACTACAGGAGTTCAGAGTGGTCTGGCTTTCCCAAAATGTATTTTAGCGTTCGTACCTGAACATTCCGGTGGATGTTTCAACTTGCTTCTGGTCCAATAATATCAGGCGCGATGCTACGGCAGGCTTTCTTACCAGGCTTCAATATTTATGTTAGTGTATTTTCTAGTCTGAAAGCCCAGATCAGTTATAAAAGTTATATTTTTATGTGGGAGAAAAAGTGTATAAAACATCTCAGACATGGTAGGCACGCTTGTACTTTTGAATACAATGCGTGTGGAAGAAATCTGTCAGCAAGATGGTTAAAAAAGTTTTAATCAACCTGCCACTTTCATTTTTTTTATATTCTCATAAATAAATCATGTTTTTATAGATTAAATAATCATATTACGGCATGATTGATGCTTCAAGCATGTATTAATACAGAAAACAATCAATTTCATGTCTTTGTTTTGAGACATGTTCTTGTTCCTTGTAATTCATATTTCTGGTTGGAGAGCTTCTTAAGGTTGCCTATCCTAATGGGCATGGGAAATTTGGAATTTCTGTCTTCCAGAATCAAAATATCTGCATCACGCTATTACTGCTATTGAAAAACATCGACAGGCATAAATGAGATGCAGTTGTTAATTAACTCATGCAAGCATGTTTCCCTTCTACCCTCTGACAACCACCCTCTCTCAAAACAGGTTTCCTGCTCTAACGTAAGACACAAGTTGGTTTCCTACGGTTCATATACTAGCTGAGATCTTATAGACCGACTAAACTTTAGATAAGCTAATATACTTGAGAATAGTTGCGACACCTAAATGTAAAACTTAGTGCTTGATCCACTCGCCACATAATTACAAAGGCAAAACCTATAACTAAAGCAACCTGTAATGGCTTGATATCACTATATACTCTTGTTTTCGAGCAGTTCAAAACTACAAATGAAAAACACATTGATGGTTGCATGAACCATTGACATGAATTCAAAGCTATATAAATAATAATAATAATCTAATATAATATTAAAAATTTATCTTAATTTAAAAACTTAAACTTTAAAGTAAGATCTCAAGATATTATTTAAGATATTATTTATATTATTTTTTAATATAACTTCTTAATTGAAAGCTCTTTCAGTTTGAAATTTATATATAATTATATTATTTTAAACTTAATTTTTATTAAATAAATAAAAATAATGAGATTTGAATTTGTAACCGTCTAATTATCAATACTCTGATATTATATATAAAAAAATCTCAATTTAAAAATTTAAACTTTTAAGTAAAATTTAAATATATAATTTATATTATTCTTCAAAATATTCTTTAAAAAAAATATATTTTATTTCTCCTGCACATACTTGGATTTTTTAAGCAACTAAACTAAACACACATATATAGTCTTAATTTAAACTTTTCATATAATTATATTATTTTATATTTAATTTTTATTAAATAAATAAAAATAATGAGATTCGAATTCGTGACCGTCTAATCATCAATATTTTAATATTATATAAAAGAAATCTCAATTTAAGAATTTAAACTTTTAAGTAAAGTTTAAATATATAATTTATATTATTCTTCAAAATATTCTTTTAAAAAAATATATTTTATTTCTCCTGCACAGACCTAGAATTTTTAAGCAACTAAACTAAACACACATGTACAGCCTTGCAGGACTTTCATTTAGTGATGAGCATGTCCTTAACCCTTCTAGCTGATTTACTCTGTAGATGTTTCAATTGCTAAGTTCAGCTCTTTACACTTTCCAACTCATAGCAACTTAAAGAAAAAAAATAAAAAAATGAAAGAGTTTTTAACAAATCCATCAATTTCTATACCAACTTTCTTTATTGTGACTGTTAAGGTTCTTGTATTGGAATCGATCACTTGCAGAGCAAATCCATTTCCGTCCGAGTAGAGCTGCCATCATAAATAACAGTTGAAACTTTAAAACCAAAATTATGTTAGAAATAATCAGGTTCAAGATTCAATTACCAACAACTAACAACACTGGAGTATTTTCTTTCTCAATTCTTTTAACAATAGAAAGGAGCTTGATAAAATAACCAGCAGTTGCTGAGATCATGACACGTTAGCAAACTTCATAGCCTTGGTAACCGTGCTGTTGCTGCTGCCTCACCGTCATCTCTTTCTGTCTTCGGAGCTCCAAAACTTTACGGTGCGAGTTCGAATGCC